CGACCCAGTGTCTGTCGCCGATTCTTGACCTGATTATATGACCAGAAGGCAGGACGATGATGAAATGCAAAATAATTTTATTTTAAACTTAATGTTTTACTTTGTTATACCAGGACATGTCAGAGAAAAAAGTGGAAATTGCATCGGCTATAGCAATCACTGCAAAAGTGCAATATTAAATTTTAGAAATTTAGTAGATACACAGAACTAGAAAGTGACGTAAGACAAGGATATGTCTTCTAAGCGGAATTTTCCAACGTCTACAGTGAGATGATTCTGAGATAATTAGAATTTCTACCAGGATTCATTATTAGCACTCACAATCTTAACAAAATTAGATATGCAGACGACATAGTGTTAATAACGGGCGGAGAAAAATACAGAAACTCCTACAGAAGGTAGTAACGGAAAGGACTCAAAAAAAAGTGTAAGACCACAATGTATAATTCCCAGCGTATAAGCTACATAAAGAACTTGTGTAAATGTGTAGCAGAACAGAAATTAGGACAAAAATACAAACTTTACTAATGGCTACAAAGGACAGGTATTGCTAAGTGCTATAATGTATGAGAAGTTGTGATGTGCCATGATCGCCCACATCTTGAAGGGACACGGAGAAGAAAGTGATAGCTGTCATGAGGACATAACCGACTGAGCAACGGTATGCCCGTCAGTTGTCACGAAGTTCTTTATAAAATAACAAGATGTTCATAAATAGGTTTGAATGTGAATGTTAACAGTTTAGAATTAGAAAGAGGAATGGGAGTCAATACGTCCGCCATTATTATTTGATATTTCTATTCACATCTACAATATGATCGACAGGGAAACAGAACCGATTGAACCAAATGTACAAATGCAATAGAATTAAGAACGACTTGAAATGAAAGACATGAACAAAAATGGTTAATTAGGTGCAGAACATTACTTTCTTGAACCGAGGAATTCATTAATGAAAATTCTATTTAAAAGTAGTCTCAAATCATTTGCGTTCGCTTACCATTTTTCCGTTTTTATTGGTAAATTGTAAGCGGTTATCTGCTTAGCAATATGGCATGATACTTCTATGTATCGTGTCTCTTCAGGACATAAGAGGTGATAGATCTCCACAACTTCCTATAATTTATAGAACTTAGCAATGTTTATCTTTTCACTATCCTTCTTAATCCATGTCCTGCCATCCATCTACACAAGGTCAGGTAAATTACTTTTTCTCTGTGAATCTTGTCTTTAAATATTTCCTGTGAATTTGAAATTTTTCAAGCGGCATGCAGGAGAGTGACTGGTTACGCCTTTTAGGCCTGACATTTTCCGTTAGCATGAACTGGAAATATAATCTGTCTATATTTTTGAGATGAGGTATTATGTACACTATTTACAGTATTAAGACTATTGTCCTCATCTTTGTTGTCATATTTATCACAACGTTTCGGCCGTTGTTCGCTCCGGCCTCCTTCAGGTGGTTGGAATGTTGAACTGAACTCTTTATTTCGCTCGCTGGGTTATACTGTTGTAGTTCCACGTGCCATGACTAATGGATGTCAGTTATCAGTTATCTCCTGTTAATTCACCTATCAAGTTCTCCACTGCCTTAACCAGATATCGAACTCACAACTCACAAGGATTCATAAAATTTTCTTTCTTTACATTTTCATAGTTATTAATTGCAAAGTAATGTAATTTCAATTTTATTGAAAACGTGTTTCCAGTTATAACGCTATTTTGTTTCGTTTTTACTACTAGTTAATTTGATTTATTATTTAACTTCGAAATATTTTTAAATAACAACAATAATAATAATGTAATAATAATTATAATAGTAGTAATAATAATAAAATTTTCTCTTATACTTTATAATAATTTATACTTTGTAGCAATATATTGCACATTGATGACGATCTGTTTACTCCGACATCCAGTGTATGTTCTATGCGTGTAGGTAGCAGTGGGTAGAAATAGTAGCTTTGTTACTCAGCTGCTGCACCTTATTATTAAGATGGATCGGCAACACTGGTCTTCACCCATCCCCTAAATCTCCACGCGCTAAACCCTGTAAACTGCTTCCGCAGGAGGCGGGCTAAATCACTTGAAATTACCATCGAAAGGCGCTGCACTCTTCTGTGCACTGGCAGTACCGGAGAGGTATGACTCCGCGATTATAAAACATGAGGGGTGTTCTTCCTTGTGCTCGTGGCAATTATTTGCACCAACTCCTTGTTATCAGCACTTCCAATAAGTGTGGCTGGTTTTTACACAAGCCTTCACCCCTCTAAACGAATCTTTTGTGTGGATAGTCTGCAGTTCAGTTCTGTGTTCCTTCTTTGCTATTCCACTTAAACAACAAGTACACTGGCAACGGGGACAGGAACAGGATAGTATTGGAAGTCTCTAACTGGCGCTTTCACAGTGTCGACCATCGGGTGATGACCCTTCTTGCGCAAAACCCTGTGAAATTGTGCTGTCCTTGTCCTCCGATAAAGCAGGTCTGTTTAGACGTAGCATTGCTTTCACTAATCCAGGGAAGGGGCTAGAAAAGGTATGCTATACATGGCTTACTCTTTATCAACTTGGCAGACGGTGCAGTTACCTAGTTATCCAATAACGCAGTCGCAATAATCGATTTAATAGAAATAAAACCCGTAAACGTGTTAATCTCGGGTCTTGGAATGTAAGAACCCTCCAAGGCAACGATTCTTCTTCCGAGCGTAAAACAGCCCTCATCGTTGTAATATTAAGCAAGCACAATATTGACATTGCTGCTCTCAGTGAGACTCGTTTTGAAGACACCTCTCAACTTGAGAAATTCAGTGCAGGATATACCTTTTTTTGGATTGGCAAAAGCGAAGATAATCCCCACCTGTCTGGTGTGGGCTTTGTCCTAAAATCAGACATTGCTAAATCCCTGTCATCTCAGAAATAAATGATCGCGTTATGACTCTTGTCTTAGAACTCGACAACAATTCTTCTACCACTCTTGTGAGTACCTCTTTGGATGATGAAATAGTTAACCGAATATCAAAGGCAACCAATGCCTTTGGGAAGCTTAAGTATCGCCTGTGGGATGTTCATGGGGGGGGGGTATTTCCCTCAAAACGAAAATCAGTGTCTATCGAGCAGTCATTCTCACCATACTTCTTTATGGGTCAAAATCATGGACGCCATACAAGACGTACATCAATCAACTTGATGCTTTTCATAAACACTGTCTTCGTTCAATATGCGGTTATATAGGGCAGGACAAAATTTCTAACCCTGATCTTTTCATCAAATGTGGCGTCGGTGGTATTGAATCCTTTCTGATACAATCACAGTTCAGATGGGCTGGTCATGTCATCAGAATGAGTGATGATCGAATGCCGAAAATTCTCATGTCTAGCGAACTTTTTCATGGTAAGCGTAACAAAGGCCGTCCTTGGTTACGCATCAAGGATAAACTTAAATACAATTTAATTTATGCAAACATCTCCATAGAGGAATTCGAACTTGCTGTTGAAAACTGAGCAAACTGGAGCAACCCCTACTACCGAGGTATAACTAACTTTGAAACGAATCGTCTCAACCATTTGAGAGAATTAAAAATTAACACTAAATCCCCGGTTAATACATCAACCCATATGACGGTTAATCCTTCATTATGGACTTTGTGTGGATTTGTTTGCAAATCCGGTGCAGGTTTTTGTCTCATACGAAACATAAATATAAAAACTGAACTGAAAGACAATTATACGTCGAAAACGATGGGAATGTCCATCATATATATAAGTACTAAGTTGGGTGACATATATGCCGTTACAATATTACGCGGCACACTTAAGATCGCGCGGCACACTAATGTAAAGTGACTACTAATAATTGCTCCATAGTCGTCTGACATGAGGTTAATGTTTTGGAGCTCAAAATGAAGATCGAAATCTCTTCACATTACTAATAATACTTTCAAAATTTAACTTAGCCTAGCACATTCACAACTATTTAGCATCCAGTGAGTACGGATCTCTATGCGGAATAGAAATATTTCATAAACTTGGCTCAGTTTGGCAAAAGAACATAAATATGCAGCAGCCAACGAATATCGAATTCCGTGCATTAGCGAATTGGCTTGTGAGATAAACTGCTTAAAATTGCGCAACAGTAGTCGCCCTACAGATCGGCATCTAATGGAAAAAACCTACATATCAAGTTTTTCTTTTTTTTTCATTCAATCAGATCCAAACTCAAGACGAACAGTGCGACTATTTACATTATTTTAATTTGAACGAATATCTTCATTTTCTTGTTATTATTACAACATTTCTGCCGTTGTGCTATTCGGTCTTCATCAGATGTCAGCCGATCCGGGTAACCGACGAAACGTTGTGATAATAACAAAAGAGATGTGGATATTAGTCCCAATATAAATAATGTAAATAATGATAACTCGCCCAGCCCCAGAATTCAGACAAAATCTACCCTTGTAGATTGGATAACGGTTTGAATTCGAAATTCTCTGAAGGTTTCCGTCGCGAGAAACATGGGGAAAATCTAAGAGTGCGGTTGGAAATTATAATTAAAGGAAGCCAGAAGCCAATTGATCTTTAACTCACTTGTGAGTATCACGGGTAATACACACACACACACACACACACACACACACACACACACACACACACACACACACACACACATATATATATACTAGTGTATCTCCGAGCGTGAATAAGTCCAGAGATATTGATTGAATTTGGACCGGAATTTTACACTGTGTAAAGTTTGGTCGGTGTGATTAAGAATTACCGTAGAATCCGATGTTAACCAATGTTGAACCTCGCCAGTACTAAGTTGGATGACCGGCGATGGAAACACTCTCGCGACACGCAGAGAACCCTCGACATGTGGAAGTCATTCTGGACTGACAGGTCATACAACCTACCTGGAGTTGTGTGAGTGGTGAGAGGAATGAAGTTCACTGACAAAGAAAGAAATGCTGAAAAACACTCATTGTGGAAAATAAATTCATTAGGATGAAATCTATCTATCTATGTCATTCTGTATCTTCCTTACTTTCTTTCTTTCTTTCTTTCTATCTGTTTAGGTCTCTTCGTATTTATCTATCATGGCCTCTTCTATCTATCTATCTATCTATCTATCTATCTATCTATCTATAAAACTGTCCGTTTAGGTATCTTCGTATTTATCTATCATGGTCTCTTCATCTATCTATCTATCTATCTATCTATCTATCTATCTATCTATCTATCTATCTATCTATCGATCTATCTATCTATCTATCTATCTATAGAAAGTGGGAGAGTGTGAGTTACAGTCAGAGAATAAAGTAACTAAAAATTCTCAATAGTGTAAAACTAAAATGTAAGTAAAAAGTAATGATATTGCGTCGCAGGAGAGGAGAAATTGTATTTCCTTGATCATAATAATCTAATTATTCATGATCTAGACTCCCTCTCCTTCTCACATACAATCACATATACACATGCAAACACTTATATATATATATATATATATATATATATATATATATATATATATATTGATGCATGTTTCATTAAATAATATAGACAAGTTTTGTCCATTTTAAATAAGTTTCTTTCATATTGTCTGATAAGCTTAATAACATTATTATTGAAAGACGAAAAGAAATCACCATATTGATAATGTTTTAATCCTATCTTTGCTTTCGGCTTACATAAGCCAATATCAAAGATGACAATTACATTACAATATATTAAACAATACACGGACAAAACAATAATGATAGTCTGCTTTTGTTGCATGAAAAATTTCAAAGCAACGGCAAACTCGTGTATACGAGACGCGGAAGTGAAATTCGCATCGTATCTCGTGATGTCACACAAAACCACCCGAGAGTGAAAACGAGAAGTATAAAGTATGGGAAGCCGTTGGTATAAACCAATGGCTTCCGTTATCAATTATAGGCATTAAACAATATTTATGTTGGTCACACCACAAACCACAAACTCGCGGAAAATCCTTTTGTACAAACGGAAACTTTGTTGAAACCACAACTATACTTAAACATGAAAACAATAAACAAAAACTAAAAATTCTTAAAGCTATATACATAAAACAGTTGAAACCTAACCTGAACAAAATAAACTATGAAATCTCCACAAATATTCTTAAATATATAAAATAATAGCCGGTCATTCGTATTCAAGGATACCCGTCTACTACGGCGGCTAACCAGTCCCTACTGCAGACGCTCGCACAGGGACATTTGTGTTTGTTCAACAGCCGCAGATATTGCAACGATGCTGAGCAGACCTCAGTTACAGTTTCTGAGAGAGCGTGTTATCTAGCGTGATCATCAATCTGAACAAGTCCAGCACAATCAAACCCTCGGTCACATTGACTTGTGACTTCGTGCTAGCACAGACATCGACGGCCCTCAAGTATACTCTCTACCCAATTTCAAAAGTCTTGGGTCAGCCAGTGGTATGCTTTTCGGACACTTTCCAAATGTGTCGCACGATGGGATTGACCCCCCAGAGCAATAATATCAGGGAGTCTCCTTCCTGGCAAGTCAACCGTGGCGAGATCGAAACTTTTCCTCTCCTCTTTCTTCCTTTATGCCCCTCACACACACACTCTCTCTCTCACACACTCTCATATATATATATATATATATATATATATATATATATATATATATATATATATATATATATATATATATTAAAAGAAGAGGGGTGCCGCAAACGTTTTTGGTTGTAATGAGGATTTATTGAGAAAAAATATTATACTTTGTTTTACATAATTTCACGACACGTGTTTCTGGTCTGGTCTCGCAAACCGTCTTCAGGTGAAAGTGGAGAGTTTACATATTATTAAAAATAATTAATTTTTCTTCATGTTCAATGTGGAATATTCTCGATATGAGACATTCTGTTTGTGTGTTGGCAATCCGAATTTTCTTTTCTAGAATTGTCAATGAAGAGTTCTGCGTGAAGGGTCATAAAACAATTAAGGTTTGTCCAGCGAGTAGTTATCGGCATTTAATCTTTTAATGTTTTAGTGACCTCTATGTGCTCTTTTGGATCTGTTTCTATTTTGGCGTGTTTCTGTCAGCATGCGTGTATATATGCGTGCGTATATTTCCTTACGAGGAATTCGTAAACTTATTTGTACCTATACACGCATACACACACACACACTATCCCACCACACCAGTCAGTACACACACACACATATACACACATATTTCCCAAGCTACATGGAACCAGTACACACACACACACACACACACACACACACACACACACACACACACACACACACACACACACACACACGTACTTAAGTTGTCAACATCCGCATATACATACATAAATGTATGTATGTGTACATACACATATATATATCTCCTCGTGTCTCCTGTATATGAGTGTGCGTCCATGTATGTGAGCGATCATTGTATTTGGTCACCCTGTGTGCATGTTTTTTTTTTTGGGGGGTTACGATCTATTCAGTTCGGGTTTGAATTTGTCTATAAAGTTTTTTTCCTGTATTTGTAGATACGAGTAATTGCCTGTTTGATATATCGGCATGATATTAAACTTACCCTGGTTACATTTGAAATGTGTTGTGATACAAAAAGTTTTCTGTTGTCTGTCAATTTTATATTGCTTTTGTGTAGGGAGACCCTGTTGTTCAGTTGTTGTTTGATGCCTATATATGACTTCTTACATTTTGTGCATTTAAGTGCATAAACTACATTTTTGGAGTTGCAGTTTAAGTTTTTGTGAATGTTTTTTTTGGGTTTTCAAAAGTGTAGGAGTTTCCTTCTATAATGATGTCACAAACTCCACATCTTTTTTGTTGCATTTTGTGACTCCCTGTATTTTGTGTTGACTAAATTTAGATGAGGTTAATATGTGTTTTAGGTTTCTAGATTGGCGTTTGCTCTTAATTATTTTGGTTGTTTTAGTATATTATTCAGTTTATTATTCTTGCTAAGTAAATCTAGATTTTTTTGTGATTTCTGGGAATATTTCTGGGTTGTTTTTGTTGTACGTTGAGACATATGCTAGAGTTTGTTCGACGTTACGTTTCTTTTTGTTTCTAAGTTGGTCTAGAGGAATTTCTTTCGCGAGTTCAATACCTTGTTTACTAGTGTTGTGGGGTAGCCTCGTTTCTTGAGAGTATTATGTAGTTCTTCTAAGCGGATTTTTCGAGATGTTTATCAGTCACTATTGTACAAATTCTACGTGCTAGGGAATAGGGGATGGATTTTAGGCAGCTTTTTGGGTGATGGCTCTTGAAATGAACGTATTGTTGGGTGTCTGTGGGTTTGTGGTAGATATCTGTGATTATGTGGTTGTTTTTTATTTCTAATGAGTATATCTAAAAATGGTAATTCGTTAAAATTATATTCTTGCGTGAATTTGATTTTTTGGGTGTAAGTTTTGAAGTAGTGTATGGAATTGGTTAATATCACCCCATGATGATTTCCAAAAGATGAAGCAATCATCTAGAGATCTTTTCCAAGATTTAGTGAATTGGGTCTTTATATTTGTCCCATATATTTGTTCTATCTTTTCATAGAGGTTTTCTTCTAGGTAAGCTAATGTTAGGGTGGCATATGTTGGTGCCATTTTTGTTCCCATCGCAGTACCTAGGGTTTGATATAGTTTTTGTTGTCAAATTCAAAGGTGTTATTGTTTAGAATTAGGTCTATACTATCGATAATGAACTCTTTAGTGAATCTCGGATGTAGTATTTCTGGATGTTTTTCAGTCCAGAATGAGATCGCTTTTTTCCCTAGTTCATGGGGTATGTTACTGTATAGGCTACTGATGTCAAAAGTTGCCATAAGCGTTCCCGGATCTACCTTTTGTGGTATGCAGCTAAGGAAATGGATATCGTCTCTGATGTGGCTTTTAATTTGTTTAGTATATGGTTGCAATATTATGTCTATTAGGTTACTGAGTTTGCTAGTGGGACAGACTGGTCCTGCTACTATGGGTCTGAAATGTAAGGTCACTGGGGTTTGGGATGCTAATGTATTCAGATTTTTGTGTATGTATAGCTGCTTTTATTTCACTCGATTTATGAACTTTAGGTAGTCCGTAGAAATTACTTGTTTTTGGTACAAAGTTTATTAGGAAATCCTTCTCTTTTTTGTTAATATTTTATTATGTGTTGTGCAGAGTTTTGTAATTTTTGTTATAATGTTTTTGTCTATGTTAGTGTCAATTACTTTTGTAGCTGTTCCTATCCTCTAGTGTTTCTAGAATTTTTGTTTATAGTATGTTCTGTCCATGATTACTATAGCGCTGCCTTTATCTGCTTTCTTTTATAATTATGTTATTATTTTTTCGAATGTTTCTAAGGCTAGTCTTTTGTCTATATGTGAGATTGTCGAATGATTTGGATTTTTCCTGTAGGTCAAGGTTCCAGAGTTTTTCAAAAAATATATTTATCTCATTGGTATTGTTATTTTTGTTTGGGAATAAATTGATTTGTTTTTTACTAGTGACTCATCTGTACTACTTTCGCTATTGTTAAATATTTTCTTAGTCTCAGTTTGCGTTCAAATTCCTTAATGTCTTTTTTTAAGTCTACTATATTGCTTTTAGAGCAGGACAGAATTTTAGGCCCAATTTCAGTAGGTTGATTTCGTCATTTGTAAGTGTATATGTAGATAGGTTTATTATTTTGGGTTTTGTGTCATCTAAACGGGTTTTCTTGTTCGGACTGGGGCTTCTAAAAATAATGATTGTTTCTTTTTAATATATCTTGGGTTTTCTTAAACTGCAACTCAAAAAATGTAGTTTATGCACTTAAATGCACAAAATGTAAGAAGTCATATATAGGCATCAGCCAACAACTGAACAACAGGGTCTCCCTACACAAAAAGCAATATAAAATTGACAGACAACAGAAAACTTTTGTATCACAACACATTTTCAAATGTAACCAGGGTAAGTTTAATATCATGCCGATATATCAAACAGACAATTACTCGTATCTACAAATACAGGAAAAAACTTTATAGACAAATTCAAACCCGAACTGAATAGATTAACCCCCCCCAAAAAAAAAAAAACATGCACAGGGTGACCAAATACAATGATCGCTCACATACATGGACGCACACTCATATACGGGAGACACGAGGAGAGATATATATATGTGTATGTACACATACATACATTTATGTATGTATATGCGGATGTTGACAACTTAAGAAGTGTGTGTGTGTGTGTGTGTGTGTGTGTGTGTGTATGTATGTGTGTGTTCTGGTTCCATGTAGCTTGGGGAAATATGTGTGTATGTGTGTGTGTACTGACTACTTGTGGTGGGATAGTGTGTATGTGTGTGTATGCGTGTATAGGTACAAATAAGTTTACGAATTCCTAGTAAGGAAATATACGCACGCATATATACACGCATGCTGACAGGAACACGCCAAAATAGAAACAGATCCAAGAGCACATAGAGGTCACTAAAACATTAAAAGATTAAATGCCGATAACTACTGCTGGACAAACCTTAATTGTTTTATGACCCTTCACGCAGAACTCTTCATTGACAATTTAGAAAGAAAATTCGGATTGCCAACACACAAACAGAATGTCTCATATCGAGAATATTCCACATTGAACATGAAGAAAAATCAATTATTTTTAATATAAAATCTCTTCACCTGAAGACGGTTGTGAGACCAGACCAGAAACACGTGTCGTGAAATTATGTAAAACAAAGTATAATATTTTTCTCAATAAATCCTCATTACAACCAAAAAACGTTTGCGGCACCCCTTCTTTTTTAATATACATACTTTTCTCTCGTTGGAACCACTACAACATATTTCTTTTATATATATATATATATATATATATTAATTTTATGTTTTATTGTCTCATTTAAATTGCATCCTATACGGAACCGTCATTTACGCTGACGTGCCTTAACCGACTCGGTTCCGTATAGGATGCAGGTTCGAATCCTGTCAAAGGACGAATATTTTCTATGAAAAATTTTTCAGGCCGGTAAATGTTTAATCTGTTTATTATAAACAGAGCATTACTTAAATACTTGTATCTATAAAAAGAACGTTAAACATAAAATATCTTTTAATAAATAAATTGTCGGATTTTGTTCATTTTATAATATATATATATATATATATATATATATATATATATATATATATATATATATATATATATATTATTCATAGAGCAATGATTTTCTAGTTCTTAAAATAGAGAGTTTTTTGTATTTACACTATCTATATTTGGGCAATTGGCGTCATCAAAACCTTTTGGCCGTTTTACTTTCCGGTCTTCATCATGTGTATATCGATCTGGATAACTTACAAGGAATTCCGAACTCGACCCTTTATTCCATCTACGGAGTTAGACTGTTCACGTTTCCCTACCCATCTCAAGGGATATCTCTTCTAGTTCGTATTTTTAGTATTAATCCTTTATGGCTTGTCTCATTTAAATTATTCTCGTAAATAGCTGTTTCTCTTTCTCTCTCACTCTTTCCCCCCTCAATCTCTCTTGATATATATATATATATATATATATATATATATATATTATTCATACTCTAATGTATTCCTGTTCTAAAAATATAGACTTTGTATGCAAAATAAAAATGAATCTAGTAAGTAGCAGTTTCCACACCCCAAAACACACACGCACGCACATATACACGTACGCAGGTACACACGCAGACACATATACACACGCACACACATATACACAAATATGCACACATATACAGGGTGTATCAAAAATACTTTTATAAACTTTGGGTGTGGGTTCCTCACAGCAAAAACAAAAACAAAAGTCCATATAAACATATGTCCCCAAGTCGTTCCTTTTTGAGTTATTAAATTTAATGTTTAACGTGGACGCTGTATAATCCAAAAATACATTTAAAGAAATTGGTTGCAAGTTCCTGACACCAACAAAAACAAGGTAAAATATACATCGGTCTGGAAATGCAATTTTATACAACCGTGCAGCCTCGCGTCCATAACCATTCGCGCGCAGCATGAAAAAATCATATCTGCCCGCTCACGATATGAATATCCTTCCATTATTATTAAACAGACACTTTCCAGTTAATTCACTACTACTTTGACGACAGACTCGCCACAAATATACACGAATCACAAATGTAACCTAGTCAACATGGCAACACACGCCATTTTCTTTAAACTTAATCACTCAAAAACGAAGGATTTGTGGACATATTTTATATGGATTTTGCCCGTTTTGCTGTGAGGAATCCGCACACAAAGCTTGTAAAATCGTTTTTTATACACCCTGTATATATATTCGCCATGTTTTGTCTGTCATATGTATGATATCTTTGGGTAAACATACCCTTCACTGATAATTTACTTCAATATTTAAGGATTTATATGTGAGCAACTTATAATAGAAAAAATATGCCTTCATTTTCACGGGTTAGGGAAAAATGGCAAAAACCTCATCGAAAATCAATTATTTAGTTATTTGGAGATTTTGGAACGGGTGACGTCTAGGCAGCTAAGCAGTCACACAATCAAGTAGTACATGCATTAATTAGCTTGATTAGATATGTCCGGAAGTACAGCCGTAATTGTCTATTTAACCATGTCACTAAGTGGCCCTACCAGAAGCTACTGCATGGTGCAGATCGCGTTTACGAAGCGACAGTACAATAGCTCCGGTATTATACACCTACTGATGGGATAGCCTCCTCAGTAGTTACTCTGAGAATCGGATATCAAACTATTAGGCAGGTAACGCCGACCCAGATAACATTTAATCCCAGCAACCTTAATGAAGAGATAAAAATCCAGGAAATAAGATAATGCAGGGAGGCTACCTGTAGTAAATGTATACCCAAAACGTATATACAACGGAATACATCCCCTAAAATAGCAAAGGAATAACCTCATGAACTGCATTTCTTGCCTTTTATAAGATTGTACAACACTACACAGAAAACCTCTAGATTGAGTGGTTTTTGGGCCTTATATTGTGTGAACATTAATATAAAAAATTTAAGTGGTGATGTTTTCAAACAATCTCATATATTATGTGTCTATTGATGTTAAACTTCTATTTTATGTCTGTAGATAAGTGAAATTTTACCGGGTCAGTTAAAAGAAAACATTGTCTCGACTGAATACCATTTCTATGCATAACAATGAAACTAATATACCTGAACCAGAAACTTTGATTAGATTCAATACATCAACGTCAACCACTTTATTTACAATATCGATTGTTAAGTTAGCATCCTTAGCTAAACATTGTTTGTCTATATTTTTGAGATGAGGTATTATGTACATTATTTACATTATTCGGACTATTGTCCTCATTTTGTCGCCATATTTATTACAACGTTTCGGCCGTAGTACGCCTTCTTCATTCCAACAACCTGATGAAGGTCGGAGCGTACAAAGGCCGAAACGTTGTAATAAATATGGCGACAAAGATGAGGACAATATTACGAATAATGTAAATAATCTAAACATTGTTATAATAAAATAATGGTCTCAAATGTTTTATTGTAAACCGCGCTTCTAAAATTCTGTTAATACGATTTGTTTTGCATAAATATTGAAAAAAAAAAATCCTTAAATTACAAATAATTACATTATTGTTTTTTTCTTATTTGTCTTGATTGGTTTTTTGTTTATTCGATTTTCTTCTTTTACTTGTTAATTCCCCTTTTTTCATTCGTACATTCTTTTTTAATTTCCTCCCGTCACCTACCAACCTCTCTCTTAGGCGGGATGTGGCAAGTCTCCCGCTGCTCTATTGCAACTTTCATGGAAAGTCCTCGGACGAACTACATTCCTTGGTTCCGTCAGGTCTATTCTTCACGGTTAGGACCCGCTATGCCACTTGCATTTTATCAACCCCCCCCATATTCTATTGGCGAGAAGTAAGCTTCTTCCCGCAAAACACTGCTCTGTGGAATCGACTGCCAAGAGAGTATTTCCCTGATCGTTATAATCATAATCTGTTCAAATCTAGCGTTAACTGTTATCTTCCCATCGTATTCACACGTACTGCCTCCGATCGTAATCCTCTACCTCGAGTGGCCCCCGAGCATTGTACAGAGGGAAGAAGCTTACTTCTCGCCAATAGAATACGGTGGGTGGTTTGCTACAATGCAAGTGGCATAGCGGGTCCTAACCGTGAAGAATAGACCTGACGGAACCAAGGAATGTAGTTCGTCCGAGCACTTTCCATGAAAGTTGCGATAGGGCAGCGGGAGACTTGCCACATCCCGCCTAAGAGAGAGGTTGGTGGGTGACGAGAGGAAATTTAAAAAAAATGTACGAATGAAAAGAGGGGAATTAACAAGGAAAAGAAGAAAATCGAATAAACAAAAAACAAATCAAAACAAATAAGAAAAAAAAAGAATAAAGTAATTATTTGTAATTTAAGGATTTTTTTTCAATATTTACTGTAACAAAACAAAGAAAAAATCACCTTGCCACAAATTTTAAGGAAAATCGAAACAAAAAGAACAATTATACTTACAATCAGAACGAGACAACTGAAAGTTCTCGAACAAATAATGATTGATTGATTCTTTTTCTAGTTATTTTTCAGGTTATTTAAAGCAAGAAAATAATTTTAGATGGTAAAAATTCCTTTTTTTGTTGGTTAATAGTGATTTAGGGATAAGAGTCTACTAATCAACCCATAGCTGGTTTAGAAGCGATGGGTTCATACCTTTCCAAAGGGTATTTGCTCATAAGTAAATATAACAAACACAAATGGAATTGGAACTCGACTCTCCGATTAACATTTCGGAACAATTAATTATTACATCACCCGCACATCGAAGCTTACACCACATAGTATTCCCAAGCGGCCATCTATCTAGATACTGACCAGGCTAGGCATTGATTAACTTCTGTGATCCTACGGGAAACGGTGTTTCGACGTGATCACCTTACCTTATGAGGAAAGAGAACTTAGGAAATTTAACACTCACAGGGCATGTTGAAAGCAAGAGAGACTGAGGAAAGCGACGAATAAGTTAACGATCTTGTGTAAATGATTACCAGAACAGACATTAAGAGCAATAGCATAGACAGAAATTTTGCTAAGAGCTACAAGCTGCAGGAAGTTGTGGAGAACTATGATCACACTCGTCCGGAAGAAACACAGCATATAACAGAGGATATAGTTTTTTTTTCATTTTTTAATCATCAGTTATCCCTCCGGTTTTCGTTTGTTATTCCTCTTTGAAATCATTCTTGGCATTTCCCTCATCTATATTTTTTTTTGTTACCGACCAAAATCGACTCCTTCTATTCAAATCTCAGCCTCGATTACATTCAACCGAATCTATATTATTTTGCAACCAAAAAAATGTCCCTTCAAAAACCCGCGGCAAAATGGCGTCGATTGATTCGTAAAAATTGCTAAAAGTCAGCAGAGTGAAAAAATAAATCAAAAAAGTAAGGCTTATGGATAAAACAAAGATATTTTTTTTCAGTTCGTTTATTTTTCGTTTGTTTACGTTCTATTTATTTTTTTTACCGTATCTTTTTATTCTAATTTCGCCTAAACCTTTTCTCTATATCTTCACTTACTCTTTTCCGTTTTTCTAATGATTTTTCTTTTGTCAGTGACCTTTACCTTGTTCTTTTCTTTCTTTCTTTCTTTCTTTCTTTCTTTCTTTCTTTCTTTCTTTCTTTCAATATTCCATTAACAATTTCGCTCTAGTGTTTTTCCCTTTCATCGCGTAAATAGAAGAAAATAATTTCCTTGATGGAAACCAGATTGAGATTGCAGACTTTTTTTCTGTTACACCATTAAAATCATTGCCAATTTCAAATTAATTCCTTCCAGCAAAACTCAGAAAATCATGAAAAGCCCTTAGCAGTTCTTTGGAAATTATTTTTCTTGTTCTTTTTATAACTCAAACGCCGGATGAAATATAATGCCATATCTAAATAGATTCGATGACATATAAAGCATTTTTTTTACGATTTCAGTGTGGAAACATAACACCATACATTTAAAGTTACAATTTTGATATTATCTTTCATAAAACTGTCTGTGTTGTACAGACCAAATTATATTTTAATAAATTCTAAATTAAATTTGGTAAATTTTCTAAATTAAGCATCGAACATCTACTCTGGCTTTCGAGAACATCGGTTACATATTTAATATCTCAAAAATGGACGCTCTTATTTTTATATGGTAACAGTTGGTATAACCAGAGACAGTTAAATATTTTATTATTGTCATTAAAGCAGACATATATCATGGCAGTGAGAGAAAAAGAAGCAAATAAACAAAAAACTAAAAAAAAGGTATAAATACCATGAACAATCTGACAAAGAAAGCAACACACACACACATACAAACCGCTAACCGGTTTTCGTTCCTCTCTCTTCAGCGCACGACCAAGAAAATAAAACAAATGTACACCATAACTAAAAGGTCAAAAATCAAATAAGGTTAGGATATACGAGGGTGGATTCATTGTCTGAATATGGCGTGATCCTAAAGCTGTGAAACCTTGTATGTATTATCTTCAACTTTTCATATTAATAACTTCATTGTTTCTTTCAAGGTAAACTGACATCTGACTGTTCAAAGAGGACTTCAAACGTAACAATTGGTCACTCTCTCTCTTGAAAAAGTTGGACAACATTTGGCATCATGGTGTTACCCTGCAGATAAAGGGTTTAGCCTCCAAGGTCATTCATCTTGATATGGTTGCTACGTTAGGTAATGGGACTCCAGCTTTATCAAGAGTGTAAAATTTGCTATTTTAGGGGAAGTATTCCTGCTCGGCTAGCTTGCGAAGCGCTGCTCTAAATCGAAGCGTCTTTTTGTCGTTGTGGAACTTACGTAAAAATTAATCATTTTATAAACAAAGTTTTCCGTATGTCACTGGAATAATCTTTGTTGTTTTCTTCATATGTATTTAATATATTCGTCAAAAAATTAAAATAAATATAAAAAGGAAAGCTAACTGAGAAAAAATAAACAGTATAGATAAATGGGTAATAGACAAGAAATAACTTGATTCCTCGACTCTCAGAATGCCACATTAACCATTAGTATAGCCATAGTATACTAAAATATTAACATAATGGAAGGAAGGACATCATTAACTCAAAAAAAATTAATTTACAAAACGAATTGTGCTTGAAATCATTTTATAAAAGGCACTAGAAAATGCAAATATGGGCTTACCTTGAAGCAGCGGTTCTTGTACAATCCCTGAAGTTAAGCAACGTCGAGCCTGGTCAGTACGTAGATGGCGGACCATTTGGGAATACTATAAACTTGGATGCCCGGCTGGTTTATTGGATAACAGCTAAGAAATGTATTTGACTAAGCAAGAATAAGTTTTTCAAAGTGAAAAATATATTAATTCGCTGAATAGAAAAAACAAAAAAACAAAAACAAAAAAACATTATTGTAGACTTTTCGTGTTCCTGAAGCAAAATATTTTTACACGTATGATCTTCCGTAGTGAAAATCGCCAATGATTTTAAATGATAAAAACGTTAGCTTCAACAGAAAGTTACAAAATTTAATAAACATTGTAATTAATTATTCTTTCTGTACGAGTTGAAAATACAATAAATTAAAAATTTGTATGTATAAGAATATTTGTCTACTCCCACTGTATATAGGGTGTCACAAATGTCATCTAGGGATTTAAAAAATTATAAATTTCACAATTTTTAGTATTCAAAATAGTTTTATAATGAATGAAAATCGCTCTTTAGATAGCATTTTCCCATAACAGCCGTTACTAACTTCTGCACATACGTTATCCTTGAGTCGAATCATTGGTGATTTATTGATGTATCCACGTGGTCTTCCATCTCGTGGCAAGTTGCTTACATAAAGATATTGCCTAAAATGTTAAATCAAACCGAACAATCATGAAATCCGATGGTGGCTTTCTGGCATTGAAGTCTAGTCAGTATTCTCTTCGGATATGAATTATGGATTGGTTAAATCTGAAATACAATTCTACGATTTTTGGTTTTTTGTTGAGTTGTGAATTTTTCCATGGATAATTTTCTCATGTTAATCTAAGTTCTGAAAAAAAGGAAATAAAAAGTATGAAAATCTGGCATGTTATGAAATTTTTAAATCTCTAGAAACCTTGAGCATAATAACGTCATGAGTTCCAGCGCCCTACGAGGCTGGCATCCCGCTCTCACCCCTTCACTGTCGAAACTCCTAAATGTAGCCGTCTCTTCTACTCTAATAGCTTCATGTCTCGCACCTCTCGCCTGTGGAACTCCCTTCCCTATTCCTGTTTCCCTGTGAGCTATAATCTCCAGCTATTCAAGTGTAATGTCAATCGACATCTCCAGTTGCCTTGATCTATCCACTACCCTCATCCTTTCTTCTATCACTCCTATCTGATCTTGCTCTAAACTTTCTGTAACCCCTTGCGTCCTAGTGGCTTCCCGCCTTGATTGGGGTGAAATGCTTAAAAAAACAACAAAACTTTAAACAAATACTTAAGCAACACCAATAGCAATATTAACACAGTGTAACTGTTGAAAAGACATTAACTGTCGGATGAACCATAAATGTATGTATAAAGGTGTCATCTACAAGGCTAGCATTAAACATAATGGCGAGACAAAATCTTATTTCGGTTCCACATCCAACAACTGGAAAACAAGATTTTACCATCACAAAATGACTTAAGAATAATTTGCAAATTCCACGGCACTGTAAAATTTTTAATGGGATATTAAAATAGATGACTATACACCGGTAGTCAATTGGAATTTCGTCTACACCCTTTTCCGGTCCTGGCGACCGATGCAGCAGGTGTTTGCTGGAAAAAAGATCTATCCTCAAAAATATTAATCTACTTAATAAACGAAATGAACATATGCTAGCTTGTAATCACGGAATGACATCTCTCGTAAAATATTTTAATTCTGGATAAATATATTATCCAAATATCATATGTCCTTGCCATATATTAGGTTACATAATGATTACTTTGATTTAGGATGCAACCTGTGCGGATATATTTTCGGCCGGTAATTTGATCAGGTCCGCGGTTGAGCCGGGATCCATCGCCCGGGACGCAGAGATAAAAAAATAGTTAAATATTTTTCTCTTGCTGATAGTTTTTATTTTTAAAACTCCTGTAGCAGTGGAGACTTCAGGGGTTATTGGCCCTCGTTCGATGGCGTTCCTTCGGAGGATTGGCGGGATGGAGTCTCGATTAAGGGACGAGCCTCGCGAAACGGAGTGGCTCTTGCAGCGTGTCTCACTGGCGATGGTTCGAGGTAATGCTTTCTCCATCATTGCGGCTGGCAGAGGATAGCAAAAAAAAACAAAACAAAAAAAAATCAAAAAACAACAAAAAAAAAACAACAAAAAAGCACATTTTGTTTATAGTTACTTTGTTCAAACTTTATTTAGCATTTCTCTCATGAGACTCAGTATATATTTTGATTTTAAAAAAATCAAAACTAATAATTCGTGCCTGATGAGTTGGTAGAACAACGAAACTTTAAGCTTTGAACGTATGTATATGTAGATTTATATAAACATACATACACAACTGTTTCTGGATATTTATCACAGAATCTGCATTTAGGGTCAATAAATTTTTCAGTATGTGTGCTTGGTAATTATATTATCATTATTATTTTTTTTATTTTCTTTAATTTCTGGTGTGTACTCATTTCTTTCTGGGTCCGCACCGGAGATCTAAGGTCAGAAATGACACCATCATATTTTCTACTGAGCAATATATCACGCATATCTTATATATATAAAACCCTTTGTAAAGTGTGGGCTCTACTCGTGAGAAAAATATTTGCGTATTTCTTTTAGGCATGGGCTTCCAGGAATCCCTTCAATGAGTCTATTGGAATCTTTTCCAATCCGATGCCTCCAACTACAAGTGGGATTGTTGATGTTCTCATGTGCCACATTTTTGAGATTTCAATTTTAAGGACCTTGTATTCTGATAGTTTTTGAAGATCTTCAAAGATACATTTCAGTCTGCAGAGAGACCCGTTTTGTCTTTGCGGTCTCTAATCACGATGGTTGGGCAAATAAATTCCTTAAAATTGTTACAGGTTTTATCTCCGTAATCGGGTTTGGGTGGTGTTCATACCAATTTCTTGCAGTCTCTTTTCCGTAGAAGTTGCAGATTCTCCAGTACAGATATAGGTCCATTCTATCATGCCGGTTTTTATATACAGTGCTTGCTAATAACGTGTAGCCTGATACAAGATGGTCAATTGTTTTTGGATATGTATTAAAGAATCTGTGTTTTGTCAGTATTGTGCATAATAATTTCTAGTTAGCAAGCAGTAGTCCTGTGCAGCAAGAATAAAACCTCCGGTTTCACCTTTTAACCCTGCAGTACTTGGCTTCTGATGGGTGCGGGGTTTGTCTATATCACCTTGTTTGGTAGGGGCAGAGTATTGACCGTGAAATGGTTTATTTTGCTATCGTTTCTGTATCTATTCGGTTGGATTTGCCCTGATTTTTTTCTGAAGTATTTTGCGGCTTCAGTCGCTGTATTTTACTTGTATTACTTCATCCATTTGAAACTCCATTTTGAACTTGTTGGCTTTCTTTCCTACTGAATAAAGTCGCTTACTACTTTCATGTTCATTGACACATATCATCATATAGTCTTCTGTAGTTTCCAGGTATCTTTGAAAGCCAATTATTAAAGTTTTATTATTATTATTATTATT